GTTTCTTATTCGTTTCGTTCGTTCGTGACATTTGAGGGGAAAAAAATATTTTTCTCCTTCTCTAATGTCACTTTGCTCCAATGAACGAAACGAATAAGAAACGAATAAGAACCGAAAACGAAACGAACGTTCGAACTACCGCTACCGAATTTCCGAAAATTCGTCCGAATTTCGATTCGGAACGAATCGCACATGTCTAGCGCGCATACAGTGGTAGCAGACACTACAGCTCACTCCACCAATAGTATCTCTTCATCGTTGACTGTGTTAGAAAAATATTTGTAGCAAAGGATATGCAAGACCGCTAGCTGGCCTTCAGCGAACACCATTATGTGCCACTTGAGCGTGGATCTGGCCATTGTGACTTACACAAATTTTGGTAGGAAGACTTTGCTCTTTTCTAAATGTTAATCAGTAAATTTCTCGATTTCTTTTGCTTTCCAACAGCGTTCCTCTCATTATTAGCCAGATGAATGCTGCCGTAAAGTCACCAGGAAATTTCCCTTTCCTACTAATACTCCATGGAAGCATGCAGCAGTTAGTCTAATTACAAGAATGGGTGCATGTAGGTATGTCGGATATTTATACAGTCACTGATCCTGTTGGTGGAACTCAATTCGGATGTACGTTATGTTGCTTCTGAGTCTCCATAGGAAAGAAATCTTATTAGACATTTGCAGCGGCTAAAAATTCATTTGGTTTCGTTTAGTTTAGTTTCGAATTTCGTTTATTTAGTTTTTTGGAATTTAGATCCTTTATGTGTTTCATTTCGGGAATCGGATTCGTATTCGGATCTGATTCGGAATTCGTGTCGAATTCGGATTTGGAATTTGGAATTCGGACGAATTCCTGAAAATTCAACTTGAGGTGGGGTAGCAGAATTGGCACATTTGACATTTCTGGTTGCTGTGCTCTAGTCTTTACTATTAAAGGGACATTAAAATCCTTTTTCTTCATTTGTTTTTATCCGTTTAAATGTTAACAGTGCATGCACAGGATTTGGACGAAATTCGTTCCAAATCCGAAATTTTGGATTCGAAATGTCGGATTCGTATGCTTTCGGATGATTTTGGATATGTTATATTGCGGAAATTCGGATGCTCCGAATCTACGAAATTTCGTCCGAATTTTCGATTCGGAACGAAACGAATCGAATGTCTAAAACTTATGGCAGGTAACACATTTCTGTTTTTTTGAAGCTTGTACCTCCTTTCCTCTAATTGGAAAGCATGACTTTACGTTTTTTTGCGGCGACCTTTAAAGCAGATCTAAACTCTAACTGGATGACATTTAAGGTGCCCATACACTGGTCGAATTTCGGCCAGTTTTTAATGTAACAGCCAAACTTCGCACAGTGTGTGGGGCTGTCCCTTTCAGCCGGCTTTTCTCGATCAGCTGATCAAAGGAGCCGGCTGGAAAATTTTCATTCAATCAGAGCCCACAGCCAATGAGCTGCCCGCTCTGATCGGGTATTCTGACAGGTGCCAGCTGCACCTGTCAGAATACAATGTAAACAGCGGGATTCCTCGATCGACACGCTGTTTGTGTTGATGGATGAATCGGGTCAATTTTTTTCGTTCAGCCCGCGAGTTAAAGGAAAAAAATTGATAGGTGTATGGTCAGCCTTAGTTTGCTCTGGGCCCTGAGTATCATAAAAAAAAAATTCCAAGCTTATTTTCATAAAATTCTTGTTTTACCTTTTTTTTCTTTTTTGGTGTCTTGATAATGCCGATCTCCTCCACCCTGTTTGAGCCACTTTTTGTCTACCTGCACAGGCTCCAGCTTCAGCTGCACATCATTGCTCTGGACCAGATTCCTGATAGTGACAATGGTGGACTATACTTATACAATGTGTGTTGTAGTATTGAATAGGTTGTAGTCTTGAACAGGTGCGTGTATGAGAGGGTGACAACACGGGTCCACAGTTACGAGTTGGAGGCAGAGCATTGTCACCCAATAAGGTGAATTGACTGAACAAGGACGTTCATGGCATGACGTTCATGGCCACCACTAGCCATTTGTAGCAGTCATTGCTGTGTACAAGCTTTCCGGACGCAACCACCCTTGATTCCTTGTGCAGAAATCCGCTAACGGGCCCTAGTCACCAGCATGAATGCGGCCTTGAGCTGTCCATACACTTGCTATTTTTTTCTCAGCCAACGTAGAAGGGGGAAGCCCGAACAATGACTGCAGCTGATTGGCTGAAAATTGACCGAAATTCGAGCACAGCTTTAGAATTCATTCACGCTTAAAGTGACACTAAACTCAGCAGTTATACCTTAAAAATGCATTCAAGTACCTGAACCATTAACAAAAATGTATCTTATTTGTGTATCACTCGGCTGTAGATCCTCAAATCATCTCTGAATTCATGCTGGCACTGTCCTTCCTTTTGGAGGGTGGCTACTTCTGTTCCTCATGGTCCCTGTGTGTGTTGTAAAGTAGCCACCGCTCCAAGCTCACTCCTGTGATGGACTACAATCTTAAAGGAGAACTATGGGGTCAGTGTTTTTCCCCATAGTTCTCCTTAGGGTAACGGGAGGACACAAACTAGCGTCCTCCAGTCACCCTAAGCTCAGTATACCGCTAGCTACAGCTCACGGTATACTGGGACGCCGCACCTGGAGCGGATCCCGACGTAGATGACGGGATCCGCCCAGCTGCGTGAGTGACAGCTGGCTCTGCCTATCTAGAGGCAGAGCCAGCTGTACCCGCCCCCTCCCCCGTCCGTTCCGCCAGTCAGCGCTGGCAGATCGGAGCGGGGAGAGGGGAATCCAGCCCCTCCCCCTGTCACGGCAGAGAGCCGTGACAGGATCGAGAGGTGAGGGAACCCGGTATGTGTTCGCTCACCTCCCGATCTACTGAGCCGACCTGTGACAGTCTCATTGTCACAGGTCGGCTTAGAACTATGAGGTGAGTGGAAATCACTCATGTCATAGTTCTCCTTTAATACAAATGAGTATACTAAATGTTAAATTATAGTCCATCACGGGAGTGAGCTTGGAGCCGGGACTGCTTTACAGCACACACAGGCAGGGCTGGATTTACTCTCTCTGCTGCCCCAAGACCAGGTTCCTCAATGCGCCCACCTCCCTGCCAACCCCCCCAATGGAGAATGGCAACCAGATGGTGGGGGCGGCAGCGTTGGTTTTAGATTGCTTTTTTTAAACTTTTTTTCTCATTACTTTTTTTATTTTTTATTACTTTTTACATTTGTATTTATCTTATTATCTTTTACTTTTTAATAATGTTTATTTCATTATTTTTAAACTTTTTTTATCACTTTTTAATTGTAATTATTATTTCTTATTTTTTTAAATTTTTATTTATTTTATTATTTCTTATCAATTTTTTTTCCACTTAACTTTATTGCTATCACAAAGGAGCAAACAGCCCTCTGTGTTTGGAAGTGACAGGTTCTCTTTATTGAACCTGTCACTTCCAATACAGGACTTTGAGCACAGTACTGTGCTGGCTCACCTGTGGCAGCTGAGATGGGAAGGCTGCGAGTGCAGCTCTCTTCCGTCTCAGTGTTTACATAGAGAAGAGCGGAGAACGGACGTTCTCCGCTCTGCTCCCTGCTCTCCAACCTGGAAAGAGGATCTCCATCTCCGGAGAGAGGCGGCCGACGGGAAGAGAGGTAGCTGACAAGGGGCAGCAGAGGGGACCGACCTGCCCCTATGGGGTTAAGTCTTTTCCCCATAGATCTCCTTAGGGTAACGGGAGGACACAAACTAGCGTCCTCCCGTCACCCTAGGCTCAGTATACCGCGAGCTACTGCTCGCGGTATACTGAGACGCCGCATCTGAAGCAGATCCCGACAATTATGTCGGGATCCGCCCAGCTGCGTGACTGACAGCTGGTTCTGCCTATGTAGAGGCAGAGCCAGCTGTACCCGCCCCCTCCCCCGTCCGTTCCGCCAGTCAGCGCTGGCGGATCGGAGCGGGGAGGGGGAAATCCAGCCCCTCCCCTATCACGGCGGAGAGCCGTGACAGGATCGAGAGGTGAGCGAACGCTGGTATATGTTCGCTCACCTCCCGATCTACTGAGCCGACCTGTGACAGTCTCATTGTCACAGGTCGGCTAGAACTATGAGGTGAGTGAAAAGCACTCACCTCATAGTTCTCCTTTACGATTTAACTCCTGAGTTTAGTGTCACTTTAAGCATGAGCGTAGTCAGACAATTTAGAGGGTTTTTTGTTTGTGTGTTGTACATGCATTTTTATTTACAACTTGTAGTACAGGAGAAGGATTGTGTGTTTCTGACCCCACAGACTTTTAAATAGGAGTGTGTGAAAAAAACAAAGGTCAACACATTTTTCAGGCGCTCCTATTCATGTGGAGTCCCATTAGGTAGGGGACTGGTGACAAGTGACACAACCCTCATGTGTGAACAGGGACCATTGAAAACAATGCTGAGCGTTGTCACGCTTAGGGAAAGAAGCTACACAAAATGGTGTAAATGGGGTCCTAGATTATAAGCTCCTGGGGTCAGGGACTGATGTGAATGTCAGCACTATATAAAAGTCCGTCATAAATAAGACGTGTTCCTGTTTAATGACAAGTGATCACAGTGAGGAGAATCACAGCTCAGACTCATGTAATGTCTCTGGTATGGGAGGCGGGAGGGGACAAAAAGGGAGGAACAGCAGGACGGCGCTTCCATGGAGGGCGGAGGAGAAGAAGAGGAGGGGAAAAGAAGAGGGAAAAGAGAGAAGAAGGAGGAGGGAGACAGAAATCTTCACTGTTAGAAGGAAAAAAAAAATGTGTGTCTCGCACAGTGGATCAGCTGCGGGATGTGAAGAAGCCCGGACACAGGGCGGCTCCGTCCTACATGCACAGTGCTCATAGCGCTCCTAAGGGCCCCGCAATCACAGAGCCATCATCTGCCCCGGGCCAACTTGTGGACGAGGCGGAAGAGCCCCAAACTACGTCCTGCCGGGGAGAAGAGGGTGGGGAGCCGGGCTCGTTCCCCTCAGCCCTTCCCTGGATTTTTCTCCTGGAATTGCTCGTCATAACGAGCGGAGCGGAAAGTTTGTGGAAGTTTGTCTGTGATCGGGAGGAGGGGGTCTGACCCTGCTGTCGGAGATCAGGAGGGGAGTCTGTGCCGGGCTGAGCCGGAGGACCATGATGAGCTCCGGCGGAGGAGTGGGCTCGGGGGGCGGCGGAGAAGTGGTCTGCTCGGGCTGGCTGAGGAAATCACCGCCGGAGAAAAAGTTGAAGCGTTTCGTAAGTGTGCAGAATGCTGAGA